GTAGTGGGTGTGATGGGTGTAGTGGGTGTTGGCAGGTGTAGTGGGTATTGTTGGGTGTAGTGGGTGTTGGCGGGTGTAGTGGGCAGTGATGGGTGTAGTGGGTGTTGGCGGGTGTAGTGGGTGTTGGTTCGGTTACAAGTGAAAATTTTAATATACAATAGTTTAGTTTGGGTTAAATAAGCCTCAGTTAGGTTAAGATAGGTTAAATTACTGTTGGTTAGTTAATTAGTGTAAGCTAAATTAACATTGTTTAGGCTAGGTTAAGTTTGGGTAGGGTAGGGTTGGGTTACTGCCTTCCACCATCCCCGTGAGGAAGGGAGAGGGTATGTGGGGGAGACGGGAAGGAGGAGGGAGGAGAAGGGAAGGAGGAGGGAAGGTGGAAGGAGGGAGAAGGGAGGAGGGATGCTTGTGGATTCAGATTTCCAGATTAGCCCCCACATAGCGCCGGGGCTAATTTATTGGCACCCCACCCCCACCCCATCTACATCCTGTGTAAGGGGAAACACGAAGGCATTGGCCCAACAGGGAAGACATGCGGGAGTTGATGTTTGCCTTCTTACACTAGGACGATGGGTGGGCGAGAGTGTCTGGTTGTGTTAGCAAGTCACCGGTGCCTCAGTAGTGTGTTACGAGAGCAGCTTAAGTACACGACCTACAGTATGTAGTGAGGACCGTGTACCATTGTGGTCAAGATATGTAGTGGCTACGGCAGGGAAGGGGTGCAGGTAAAGGGAGAAGTAGTGGCTGTGGGGGAGGGGGAGGTGCAGGTAAAGGGGAGTAGTGGCTGCAGCAGAGGACGGGGAAGGGGTACAGGTGACAGGAGGAGAGGAGTAGTGGCTGCAGCAGGGAGGGAAGGGTACAGGTGACAGGAGAGAGAGTAGTGGCTGCAGCAGGGAGGGGTGCGAGTAAGGGGGAGTAGTGGCTGCATGAGGGAGGAAGGTGCAGTGGGGGGAGTAGTGGCTGCAGCAGGGCGGGGAAGGGTACAGGTGACAGGAGAGGAGTAGTGGCTGCAGCAGGGAGGGAAGGGTGCAGGTAAAGGGGAGTAGTGGCTGCAGCAGGAGGAAGGGGTGCAGGTAAAGGGGAGAGTGGTGGCTGCAGGAGGGAGGGAAGGAATGCAGGTGACAGGAGAGGAGTAGTGGCTGCAGCAGGGCAGAAGGGGTGCAGGTAGGGAGAAGTGGTGGCTGCAGGAGGGAGGAAGGTGCAGGTAAAGGGGAGAAGTGGTGGTATGAGGGAGGGAGGTGCAGATAAGGGGAGAAGTAGTGGCTGCAGCAGGGCGGGGAAGGTACAGGTAACGTGAGAGGAGTAGTGGCTGCAGCAGGGCGGGGAAGGGGTACAGGTAACGTGAGAGGAGTAGTGGCTGCAGCAGGGCAGGGGAAAGGGTGCAGGTGACAGGAGAGAGTGAGTGGCTGCAGCAGGGCAGGGGAAGGGGTACAGGTGACAGGAGGAGAGAGGAGTAGTGGCTGCAGCAGGGGGAGGAAGGGGTACAGGTGACAGGGAGAGGGAGTAGTGGCTGCAGCAGGGCAGGGGAAGGGGTACAGGTGACGTGGAAGGTAGTGGCTGCAGCAGGGAGGGAAGGGGTACAGGTGACGGGAGAGGAGTAGTGGCTGCAGCAGGGCAGGGAAGGGGTACAGGTGACAGGAGAGGAGTAGTGGCTGCAGGGCAGGGAAGGGGTACAGGTGACGTGGGAATAGTGGCTGCAGCAGAGGACGGGGAAGGGGTACAGGTGACGTGAGGAGGTAGTGGCTGCAGGGGAGGAAGGGGTACAGGTGACAGGAGGAGTAGTGGCTGCAGCAGGGGCAGGGAAGGTACAGGTGACAGGAGAGGAGTGAGTGGCTGCACGGGGCAGGGGGAAGGGGGTACAGGTGACGGGGAGGTGGAGTGGCTGCAGCAGGGCAGGGGAAGGGGTACAGGTGGAACAGGAGAGGAGTAGTGGCTGCAGCAGGACGGGAAGGTACAGGTGACAGGAGTGAGTGGCTGCAGGGCAGGAAGGGGTACAGGTGACAGAGAGGATGGCTGCAGCAGGGCGGGGAAGAGTGCAGGTGACAGGAGGAGTAGTGGCTGCAGCAGGACGGGGAAGGGGGTACAGGTGACAGAGGAGAGGAGTAGTGGCTGCAGCAGGGCAGGAAGGGTACAGTGTGGGAGAGAGTAGTGAAAGCAACCAGAGGGAAGGGGTACAGGTGACAGGAGAGAGTGAGTGGCTGCAGCAGGGGAGGGGAAAGGGTACAGGTGACAGGAGAGGAGTAGTGGCTGCAGCAGGGAGGGGGAAGGGGTGACAGGTAGGAGGAGTAGTGGCTGCAACAGGGGGGGAAGGGTACAGGTGACGTGAGGAGAGAGTGGCTGCAGCAGGACGGGGAAGAGGTACAGGTGACGGGAGAGGAGTAGTGGCTGCAGCAGGGCAGGGGAAGAATCAGGTGAGCAGGAGAGGAGTAGTGGCTGCAGCAGGACGGGGAAAGGGGTACAGGTGACAGGAGGAGTAGTGGCTGCAGCAGGGCAGGGGAAGGAATACAGGTGACAGGAGAGGAGTGAGTGGCTGCAGCAGGGGAGGGGAAGGGGTACAGGTGACAGGAGAGGGTGAGTGGCTGCAGCAGGCAGGGAAGGGTGCAGGTGACGTGAGAGGGTAGTGGCTGCAGCAGGGCAGGGGAAGGGGTACAGGTGACAGAGAGGAGTAGTGGCTCAGCAGGGCAGGGAAGAGGTACAGGTGACAGGGAGAGAGTAGTGGCTGCAGCAGGACGGGGAAGAGGTACAAGTGACGGGAGAGGTAGTGGCTGCAACAGGGCGGGAAGGGGTACAGGTGACAGAGGAGTAAGTGGCTGCAGCAGGACGGGGAAGGGGTACAGGTGACAGGAGAGGAGTAGTGGCTACAGAGGGAGGAAGGGGTACAGGTGACAGGAGAGGAGTGGTGGCTGCAGCAGGGCAGGGAAGGGTACAGGTGACGGGAGAGGTGAGTGGCTGCAGCAGGGCGGGGAAGGGGTACAGGTGACAGGAGAGAGTAGTGGCTGCAGCAGGGCGGGAAGGGGTACAGGACGGAGAGGAGTAGTGGCTGCAGCAGGGCGGGGAAGGGTACAGGTGACGGAGAGGAGTAGTGGCTGCAGCAGGGCGGGGAAGGGGCAGGACGGAGAGGAGTAGTGGCTGCAGCAGGGCGGGGAAGGGGTACAGGACGGAGGAGTAGTGGCTGCAGCAGGGCGGGAAGGGGTACAGGTGACGGGAGAGGAGTAGTGGCTGCAGCAGGGCGGGGAAGGGGCACAGGTGACGGAGAGGAGTAGTGGCTGGCAGGCGGGAAGGGGTACAGGTGACAGGGAGAGGAGTAGTGGCTGCAGCAGGGCGGGAAGGTACAGGTGACGGGAGAGTAGGTGGCTGCAGCAGGGCGGGGAAGGGGTACAGGTGACGGAGGAGTAGTGGCTGCAGCAGGGCGGGAAGGGCAGTGATGCGGAGGAGAAAATGCAGCAGGGCGGGGAAGGGCACAGTGGACGGGAGAGAGTAGCTGCGGCAGGGCGGGAAGGGCACAGGTGACAGGAGATAGTGGCTGCAGCAGGCGGGGAAGGGTACACAGTGACGGAGGAGAGTGGTCAGGCGGGGAAGGGCACAGGTGACGGAGAGGGAGTAGTGGCTGCAGCAGGGCGGGGAAGGGGTACAGGTGACGGGAGAGGAGTAGTGCATGCAGCAGGGCGGGGAAGGGGTACAGGTGACAGGAGGAGTAGTGGCTGCAGCAGGGCGGGGAAGGGGGACAGGTGACGGAGAGGAGAAGTGGCTGCAGCAGGGCGGGGAAGGGGCAGGTGACAGGAGAGGAGTAGTGGCTGCAGCAGGGCGGGGAAGGCACAGGTGACGGAGAGGAGAAAGGGCTGCAGCAGGGCGGGGAAGGTACAGGTGACAGGAGAGGAGTAGTGGCTGCAGCAGGGCGGGGAAGGGGTACAGGTGACGGAGAGGAGTAGTGGCTGCAGCAGGGCGGGGAAGGGCACAGGTGACAGGAGAGGAGTAGTGGCTGCAGCAGGGCGGGAAGGGCACAGGGACGGAGAGGAGTGTGGCTGCAGCAGGGCGGGAAGGTACAGGTGACAGGAGAGGAGAGTGGCTGCAGCAGGGCGGGGAAGGGGTACAGGTGACAGGAGAGGAGAAAAGCTGCAGGGGCGGGGAAGGGGTACAGGTGACGGAGAGGAGTAGTGGCTGCAGCAGGGCGGGAAGGCGGTGACGGAGAGGAGTAGTGGCTGCAGCAGGGCGGGAAGGGGTACAGGTGACGTGAGAGGAGTAGTGGCTGCAGCAGGGCGGGGAAGGGGTACAGGTGACGGGAGAGAGCATGCAGGGCGGGGAAGGCACAGGTGACGGAGAGGAGTATGGCTGCAGCAGGGCGGGGAAGGTACAGGTGACAGGAGGAGTAGTGGCTGCAGCAGGGCGGGGAAGGCACAGGTGACGGAGAGGAGTAGTGGCTGCAGCAGGGCGGGAAGGGGTACAGGTGACGGAGATATGGTACGCAGGGGGGGGAAGGGGTACAGGTGACGGAGAGGAGTGGTGGCTGCAGCAGACGGGAAGGGGTACAGGGACAGGAGAGGAGTAGGGCTGGCAGGGCGGGGAAGGGGCAACAGGTGACGGAGAGGAGTAGTGGCTGCAGGGCGGGGAAGGGGTACAGGTGACAGGAGAGGAGTAGGGCTGCAGCAGGGCGGGAAGGGAACAGGTGACAGGAGAGGAGTAGTGGCTGCAGCAGGGCGGGGAAGGGGTACAGGACGGAGAGGAGTAGTGGCTGCAGCAGGGCGGGGAAGGGTACAGGTGACAGGAGAGGAGAAAGGGCTTGGCAGGGCGGGAAGGGGCACAGGTGACAGGAGAGGAGTAGTGGCTGCAGCAGGGCGGGGAAGGGTACAGGACGGAGAGGAGTAGTGGCTGCAGCAGGGCGGGGAAGGGGTACAGGTGACGGAGAGGAGTAGTGTCTGCAGCAGGGCGGGGAAGGGGTGAAGGTAGGAGTGCTAACTACAGGTTAGAAGCAGCAGTGGGCAGGAAGTGGTGTGTTGACATACCAGCAGTGAGCAGTGTGGTCAGCAGGAGGGTGGTGGTGGCGAGGCCAGCATGTGAGGGCGGGGGGGGAGCCTCATCCCCCCCAGGCACGACCCCCTTGATCCACCAGCCCCTCCTCCTCTCTGCCTCCTATTACTTCACCACCACCTCCTTCTAGAGTTTCAACGGAGGTAGAGAAGGATTTCTGTTTCTGCGGCACCTCCTCCTAACGTCTCAGCAGTCACCGGGTTGGTGTTGGAAAGGGCTTCTTGTACTGCTGCTGGTGCTACTTGTGCTGCGTGTGGTCCTCAGCCGGCAGGTCTCCTGGCGTCCCGCAGTGGTAGCGCCCCCTACCTGCGGCCAAGAGAAACATAAGGTTAAGGGGAGAACACTGAGAGGGTTTTTATCACCGTCTTGGGGTGAATTAAGAGGTGTTGAAACTCACGGCCATACCGTCACTCCGTCGCTGCTACTGGAAAAAGACAAAAAATAAAAAATAAAATTGAGGGGTGACAAAGAGTTAGTCTTCAGCTGCGTTAGTGACGGACTAGTCAGGGGTACAGTAAGAAGCGGGTCGGAGCCGCGGGGTAAAAACTCTTTGATGGGCTAGTCAAGTCAGCAATGAAAAGCGTTCATTAAGCTAACTAACGCCCTAAATTCTTGAATGGAAAATAATACAATTTAATAAAGGCCACAACTCCTCATATCTATGTCAGTGTGGGTCGCTCGTCCACCTGGTAGCGTAATTAGTGAGCCTTGTGAAAAAAATCCCTCACGTGGGGGAAAAAACCTCGGCAGTCTGTCAGTCAAGAGAGGCGGGGAGACAAAAATAAAAAAAAGGGAAAACAGTTTAACTAAGAGAGAAATGTTTTGAGAAGCACCACGTGTTACCCGGCCCCTCAGGCCATGGTACAGTACTCTATTTACCTGTAATATACCTGGAGGAGGGTCCGTGTTACCGTATGAGGAAGAGGACAAGTAAGATGATTAAAAACAAAGAGGAAGAAGAAAGAAGAGACGGAGGAACAAGTAAAACAACAACAACAACACAGATAAGAAACAGAAACAATACAAAGCGATAAATAAGATCAAGAAAACGGTGTTAAAGAACGAATAAAATAATACAAATACAATTAAAACAAGATAATGATGAACAAATCAAAAGACTGCAAATAAATGAAAAAAATTAAATAAACAAACAAGGAACTGTAGATTAAACACTCACAGAGGTTTATAACACCAGCTTAGGTACAGTCGGCCACAAGAATAAGTATGTTCGTGTTTGAGACAAAATATCTGGTAACACTGTCCGGAACAGACCAAACAAATTATAAATGGCCTGTAATTTATGTTTTATTCCTACATATATGTTATAAATACATTTGTTGTGAATGTTTTACTAGTGTCTTGTGTTTCAATTCAAGTAATATATTGTAGCCAATGGTAGTAAACTTGTTGCTGAATTGGATTGCAGTTATCGTACGGCTCCCTCCTCCTCCCCACTTTCTCTTACCCTACTTTTTTATTAATGTTTGGATTAGTAAAGGAAGGAGATAAATAAAAAGAATAAGAAGGAAACAGAAAATAGTTAGAGATAACAGGTGGAGGGGAGCTGAGTTTCATCATGCGCCTGGATGCGCAGTTTCAACGTTACCAGACCATTTTCGGACCTTACAGCTACAGTGTGTATACATAATCCTGTGACCGCCTGTACCTAACACTCCCAACACTGTCTTATACGACCGTCACCTTACCTAAAACACCAAGCCAGTAGTACCCCACCCCTTCTATCACACGGTGGGTCCCTCTCTCCCCCGCCCTATCTTCACCCTCCCAGAAGCATCTCTCACCACCAGCGTCACACCAAACATACTTACACAGATATACAATGTCTGTAAACATATCCCCATACACATAGATACATACATACATACATACATACCCATACATACATTATATACATACATACATACATGGTGCAGACATACATACATACATACGTCACATAATGTTCTTGGATAAGTTCAACAAGTTCTCCACTGTGTACTGCAGATGTTCTTGACTCTAGTAATGTTACCAGAGATGTTCCCAGGCTTAACCTCACCAGCAACAGTCATCAGTCTTTGTCTTAACTTGGAGACGAGTTGAGGGAGAGGGATGAGAGGGAGAGGAGGAGAGGGATGAGAGGGAGGAGGAAGAGGAATGAGGGATGAGAGGGATGAGAGGAAAGGATGAGGAATGAGAGAGAGAGAGGTTGAAGAAGGAGAGGGAGATGAATGAGAGGGAGAGGTTGGTTTCCATGTCCAAATAACTATCATGTTCCTCTGAGAAGAACGTTACTTCCCTGTCTGCTGTTGTCCAGGTGAGGTGAACAGAGGTGTGGCGTCAACTCAATACTGGATAAGATTAATATTGTAAACCACATAACTAACAAAGAAGCAGCGAGGATTTACGATTGCCAGTAATACTTTAGACGAATTGTGTTTAGAATATACGTCTTCTGTGTGGCTCTCATACACCAGAACTGAGGTTAAGAATCACCTGACGATTAAATACCCAAACATAACCTAACCTAACCTAACCAACCTACCTAACCCAAACCTAACACCCCCAGGTAGCGTTAGGGTGTTTGATCTGCACTTGAAATACGCTGGGGTGCCTAAACTTCGAGTGATCGGGGGTTAATTTCACAGGTTACCAGGACGCTCCATACTCTGATCTGAGAAGCCACTGGAGCAACGGCACCTCCACCAGGACCCGTGTATGTGTGACCAGACAACCCTCACCTCTACCCACCAGGACCCGTGTATGTGTGACCAGACAACCCTCACCTCAACCTCCACCAGGACAAAATTCACGGTTAAAACTTACACAGCCATGAGAGATGAACTACCCTGTGTGTGTGTGTGTGTGTGTGTGTGTGTGTGTGTGATGAACTACCCCATGATTGATATTACCCGACAGCACCTGTCCCTACACCCCGGGGTTCACGTCAGCACCACCTCCCGCCACACCCCGGGGTTCACGTCAGAACCTGTCCACCACACCCGGGGTTCACGTCAGCACCACCTCCCGCCACACCCCGGGGTTCACGTCAGAACCTGTCCCCACACCCCGGGGTTCACGTCAGCACCACCTCCCCGCCACACCCCGGGGTTCACGTCAGAACCTGTCCCCCACACCCCGGGGTTCACGTCAGCACCACCTCCCTGCCACACCCCGGGGTTCACGTCGAACCTGTCCCCCACACCCCAGGGTTCACGTCAGAACCTGTCCCCACACCCCAGGGTTCACGTCAGCACCACCTCCCGCCACCCGGGGTTCACGTCAGCACCACCTCCCGCCACACCCCGGGGTTCACGTCAGAACCTGTCCCCACACCCCAGGGTTCACGTCAGCACCACCTCCCGCCACACCCCGGGGTTCACGTCAGCACCACCTCCACCCCCGGGGTTCACGTCAGAACTGTCCCCACACCCCAGGGTTCACGTCAGCTCGACCTCCCCACACCCCGGGGTTCACGTCAGCACGACCTCCCACCACACCGCGGGGTTCACGTCAGCACTGCCCCGCACATTAACTCACGCACCGGAAATGAGTGTGAGTAAAACTGTACCGCCTTGTGAGACGATGCTGGCTGAGGGTGATCCGACCGTCCTCCTACTCCCTCATAGATGCTGAGATGTTGACGGTCTGCCCCGCCCGTCCGTCCTCTACCACTGTACCCCGTCTCGTGTAGCCCGTTCCGAATTGCCTCGCCCCGCCCCGTTTGGTCTCCCCGTTTCTCTCACACAATCTTTTTCTCTCCTTCAGTAACAACATGTATATATTCCGGTGATTGCTGTGTGTGTGTGTGTGTGTGTGTGTGTGTGTGTGTGGTTGACTTAGCTGTACTTGAACATGTGTCTGTAACTGTATTTAACTCTTTAGAGGGCAGCGATGTACTTAGGTATTTTATTCTGGATAACAACAAACGACTTTATCCAGGTGTGAGACACTCCTGGTCTGTTAAGAGTTAAGCATGAACTAGAATATGGAGTTTCAGTTTACAGCTGGCCATCCACCACACTTAAACTGGTACAAGTCACTACCACAGCCAGTCTCATCATCACTGACTCTGGGTATTGCTCTCTTGGTACCAAATGAAGGTACCAGATAAAACACTTATTTTCTAAAAGCTAAATATCCGTAGTTTCCAAAACAGTCTACTGGACATGTATACTGTGTAGCTTTCAGGCTGATAATTTCATGTAGTATATCGTTATTTGGCCGTGAGTACAAGCTTAGAAGGCCGAGATAACAATAAAACTAACTTTTATAAATGTCCAACAATCATTTGTGTCACGTATTTAGCATCCTTGACCAACGGGTGTTTGGGGCCGCCCAGTGGTACAGTGCCGACCAACCTCTCTGGTCCATGGACTGTCTCCCTGTCTCCACTGTTTGGTCCCGAGTCCCACAACTGAGTGCCACACAAGTGAAGGGTTAAGATCATGTTGTTGTGGCGTCCTTACACAAGTATGAGTCACAGAAGGCAAGCATGGACCCGGCATGCTTTCCTGTTGGGTTCTGTAAACGTTTTGGTGCTTCGCCTTGTGCAGGGGGGGGTGCCACAAAAAACTAGCCCCACGAGGCGCAAATCTGAATCTTCCGAGTATAACAGATGTGATACTTCAGCTAAATGTGTTTGAATATAATTTTGCATTGTAAAACAGAACTAATAATGTCATTATATTAGGAGGATGTCGTCACTGCTGCTGTAGATTGTGGCTATGATACAAATATAAACATCTGGTGCACTCCACTGACCCACTAGGGTGCACAATAAACTAGCTGATGTCTGAGTAAACAAAACAAAATTCAAATTCAAAATTTCATTATTTCATCTTCCTCCAATTCCATCCTCTCTTATATCCTCCTTAACCATCATTACCCTCTACATCCTTCTTCTCCAACACTACCACCTCCTACTTCACCACTATTACCTCCTTCCTTCCTTCCTTCCTTCACCACCACCTCATACTCCCGCTTTTTTCCTCCACCACTCAGCCTCCAACACGTTACCCCTCACACCTATAAATGGGTCAGGTGGCGTCCATCTGTTAATACAGTGGTGTCTGTCTATCTGTCTGTCTATATCCGTGTGTGTGTGTGTGTGTGTGTGTGTGTGTGTACATCCCCCTTCCCTCATCCTCTACATCCCTCTTCCCTCATCTTCTACTTCCCATTCTCTTTCTTCCTTCCTTTGCTTTTTCTTCTTTTTCATTCTTCCTTATCTCCCTCCCCTTCCTCTCATTCTTCCCTCCTGTCCTCCTCTTCTTTAACCTTTCCTCCTCTTCCTTCTCTAACC